CCGAGTTTTTAGTCGTTTAGTACGCGGATCACGTGAGATTTCTCCCGTGTCATCCCTATATAATTATATAGGGAGTCTACCGACTCTCTAATATAAAAAATACTTGCCTTGCACATTATAGGAAGGGCATCTTTCAACTTTTTGTAGTACTTTTGAAACCATCATTTCATCTCTAACAAGAGTTTCATCAATTTTATTCAGCTGCAGGAAAATGAATTAGCTACATCATATAAAAAAATTACAAAACTGACCTGTGTCCTACTGGGGCTCATCAGGCAAATCTGTGATGGATCTAACTTGGCTCCCCAACAATCCTGTGGCCATCCTGAACCAAACTTTTTAAGTTGTTCAACAACAATTTTAGCTTCTAATTCGTTGATAGGATTTTCACTTGGATGGGGATGAATAATATCTGAACATATAAAGACCAATGGGAAAGGTGCATCTGGGTGTGTTGACTCAGGTTTTACATCAGACTTTAGTGAACAATTGTAAAATAATTTTCCGGCTAAGTGGAGAATGTCAGGATGACATCGAAAATTAGTTTCCAGTCTGGCAATATAGGAATCTGCGCTAATTCCAAAATTGTTGTATTCATTCTCCAACCGCTCTAGCAGAGAGATTGAAAATCCTTCTTTTCGTGGTTGATCACCAAGAACAAGTAGTTGAGGTCCAACCTAAATTAAGGGAATATATACCAGATGCACATGACCCCCTTTTAACCTTAACACTACCGCAGCCACATTTAGATGATGCAAATATTCATTTGTATATAGTAGTTCAGACCTGCACAACTATATAGCATGGGAGGATTGATTATCAGCAAGCAGTGTTTAATATGAGTGGTGTAATACTGTGCAGTTATGTAGCTACACCTAAAGGAAGTCATGCGTCATGAATATGCATTTTATCGTTGTCCATCATAACTAACATGCAATCTCCTTTTAATTTACACTTTTTAAAAATATTCTTGCCAGCATAAAGGTTGATATTTTGGGGGGAAATGTAAACTAAACAAAAAAAATTAGAACAACAAGATGGAAAACTGACTTTCTTCAATTAATCACTGACAATTATGCAAAATCATATCCGTTTCTTAGGTGTATGCTTTTCTGAACGTATGGATCTGAATAATATTATGTCAGAAATTGATTGATGCTGGATAACAGCTGTGTCATCCATACACACTAGAGTACTTAGCTATATTCACATTCTTCGTACGCTTTTCCTCACCCTACCGGTGTGGCTATTAAGGTGTCATGGAGTCATCATGCAATTGAAGAGCTAGCCATTGAGAGAAGGTGTGGTAGCGGCTGTGTCTTGGCAGAGGAGAGTAAACTTGTGAGCAAATGCTATTATTATAAAGTGAAAGCTTTGAACGACTAGCGAGCTCGTATAAGACTGTCGTGGCTGGTGTAGCTGCCTTGCGGCTGACATAACCCCACGACACTAACTCGCTAAATGGGAAAGAATGTGAAAGACTGTGATCGTGAATAAATTATGGTGTAAGGAATGTTAGCTACTCGTGAAATATGAACTTAGCTAAATCCTCAAAAGTGGACACGAAAGTTGTGAAACATAAACCACAGGAAACGTAACTCTCTTGGCTTTTGTAGGTCTTACCTGTTGCTTATCACCAGCCAGGACAATTTTTGTTGACTTGTTTGCAAAACATAGTGGGGCCACTGCTTCAGCTTCCCTCATGTGACACACTTCATCAATAAATATATGGTTTAAAATATATAATTCAGATATCGTCGCCTCCGTAGTTGAGTGCGCCATGCAGGTTGTAATAATCAGATAAGGCCTTTCTTTTGTTGGAGGTGTCCTTCTGAAATCTTCCTCAAAGGCACTATAGCTACGAAATAGAGGTTTATCATCCTCCCATCTTTCTTCCTTTATAACTCTGGCAACATATAATTCTTGACGCTTAGCGACCAAAACATCTTTCATAAAAATGATCGAGAAATGCATCAGCAGAAGTATGCTGCTGTGTACATACGAGAATGCTGGTTTCATCACTTCTGGTTTGCAAGTAATAGTGCACAGCCAATGCACGATGCTTTTCTTATGCTATTTTATGGTTTTTTATTTGTTATATGTGTGAATATCTTCTTTTTTATTATTTTTTGTATTCGCTCCCAAACGACCAGTTACAAGAATAGGTGGAGTGCCATCTGGGCACGATACAATTTTAGTAAGAGCCATATACTGGTCTTCTGAATATCTTTGTAAATTCAAAACCTCCCTGCATTTATCTTCAAGATTTTTAAGCTTCAATGGACTAAAACTTGATGGAATAAGACGTGAAATCATCACATCACTCAATGAATTTACGAAGTTTCTAAGATTTTGAAAATAGTGACTTTTAAGGTTAAAACAGACGGTAAATTCCCTCTCGAATCGCTGTGGCAAGACACGAAACTCTTTCAAAAATTTTAAATATTCTTTCACCCGAACATAGAGAACATCTTCAGTATGCTTGAAATTATCTTTCGATATTTCTCCCAAAACAACATTACTGCCTTCAGTTTTCATTGTAAACAAATTGCTTGCTTGTGTGACATAAGCTATGTTGTCACCAGAAATACCTAGAAGGTACATGGAACGAAAATTTTGTTGACCTTGTTTTTCTACAACCAGTCGAAGAACACCATCACACCTACATAAAAGTGAATAACACAATCGTAGTTAGCTATTACAGCTGTTATAGCTACAGCCTAACTATGTACGGTTGTAGTCAAACTTCAAACAATCCGGCGCTTGCAATAATTATATGCTGTATTCTGAGCTGTGTGCCGACCAATATCCGTATTGGACAGGAAGTCCTTATCACACATCTAGCGCTGGGCGTAGTAAAAATTGTCTGGCTTCCATAGTTTACGCAACAAACCAGAATTCATTAGTATATGAGCACCACATGTGTGCAGCAGGATGACATGACAAAAATTCAGCATTGTGATTTGCTAGTTGGACTACAAATCGGTTAACGTCAGGCATCTCGGCGCGTACAGGATATCCTCCTCGGCTGTTGACTATATATATATACTGGCCTCGGGCTCCGCCCTCGTCCGGTATAGTCAACAGCCTCGGAGTATATCCTGCACCACCTCGCCACCTATACGTTAACTAACACGTAAAGTAATTCAAAAACATTTCAGACATTATCTACCGATGCTGTATGTGGGGATGGAACAGGTCAAATATCATAGGTTTCACTAGACTCGGCGAGGTCTAGCCAGCGTTCAAAACACACCAGCAATAGTCACAGGCCCTTATCTAGCTATCCATATTTCCAAGAAGCTCCGTGCAAGAATTTACTCCTGCATCCTCACGTCATCATAATGAAATTTTTCATCATCATCATCATAATCTTAAATAGCATTGCGCCCAACTGTCTTCTCTAAATATCTCGTGGCTCGGCAGATGTGTGCATCGTCTCCATCAGGCAATCATTTTCTTTTGTTCCCACAAAATCATCAATAGGCCACCAATACTTCAACTCTCACTCCAACTTGTTAGCCCATTGAATAAAAACAAACAGAATTTACGACAAGACGTGCCGGCGGTACAAATTTTTCACACCACATCACCGAAAATTTCAGATTAGTCCATCACTACCATCAGCCTTATTTGTAAGCTTCCGAACACATCTCACTCAACTCTATTTCTTTATCTAACACACTGTCCCTGCATTCGTCAGAACAACTTAAACTCTCCCGTAATATGCTCATCAACCAATTCTTTCCATGCAGCTATATATCATCGAAAAATGCAGCATCTAGCTACACTACATGAACCTACTAACTAGGAGTACTTTTTCCTGGGTTGTTTTCTTTAGACCACGGCCCCTTATGATTTTTCTAAGCTTAGTGTACCATTTATCGAAGCTTTGATGCTCTATAATTGGCGAGCGGGAGCGAGCCAACCTAGTCGTTCGTTCGAGCGGAATTTTCTGTGTATATAATATATATATGCGTTCGTACGTCGTGTAAGTGCGCATGCGCGGCTTTGTACGCGCTTCTTTTTATCTGAAACTATTTCCACATTTTCACACACGGTGCCTCGCCGATCGATCTAGCCAGCTAGAGAACTCTCCTCTCCATCGACAGCATGCGCTGTAACCTTGGGTGACTGGCCGAGGCTGTACCTCTTCCCAATCTTCATGGTTCCAAGGTGCAACTTGCAAATAGTAATACGCTAGGATTGCTACTGCACATACTGCTGCATGCCCACGACTGACGAGCTGAAAGCGTAAGGTAGGTATATACCGTTCTGCTCACCTGCTCACTGTTATACAGTACGCATGTAACGGCGACAGGTAGATCTGTCTTGCTTCACGAAAGGAAAGCTGTGCGCTGACGGCACGTTTTGCGGCACGAACATCGCGGGCAAATCCCAAGTTGGGTCGCTCCCGCTCGCCAACAATGTTCAACATTTCCACTAGATGGCGAGCGGGAGCGAGCCAACCTAGTCGTTCATTCGGGCGGAATTTTCTGTATATATAATCGTAAAGTCGTACGTCGTGTAAGTGCGCATGCGCGGCTTTGTACGCGCTCCGATAAATTTTTACGCATTTTTACACACGGTGCCTCGCCGATCGACGATCTAGCCAGCTAGAGAACTCTCCTCCATTCGACGGCATGCGCTGCAACTTTCGGTGACTGACCAAGGCTGTACCTCTTCCCAATCTTTATGGTTCCAAGGTGCAACTTGCAAATACGCCTAGGATTGCTCGTGCACGTACTGCTGCATGCCAGCTGCCTGGTGGACCACGATTGACGACTTCAAAGCATAAGGTAAGTACCGTCTGCTCACCTGCTCACCGTTCTGCTAATGTACAATACGCATATAACGGCGACAGGTAGATCTGTCTTGCTTCACGAAAGGAAAGCTGTGCGCTGACGGCACGTTATACAGCCCAAGTTGGGTCGCTCCCGCTCGCCAAGAATGTTCAACATTTCCACTAGTATATATATACCAAACTTGTGATTGAAGCAATGTGCTTTGCATCCATTATAGAACTTGCTGTTGGTGGGGCTTTACCAAATATTTTATGAGTGAATCAAGTGGAAAACCAATTTATTAACCCTCGGCGCGCATGCGCAGCGTGGGTTACTGTAGTCGTTCTGTCTGTGTGTGTGTGTCGACGCTTATTCTTGCACTACAGGCTACGAAGCGGCCCATTAGCGATACCAGAAGCGTCAGAATTACACGAACCTGAAAAATAAATGGGCGATTTTCCTGAAACGACTGCGTTCGAGAGCGCACCATCGCCGACCGTGTTCCGTTGCCCAACCCATCAATAAGCGGTGCGCATGCGTATATTAGACGCTCACCCCGACCAGATCCGCTTGCTCTGTGTACAAACCACAGCGAAGGGCGTGTATCGACTCCCGCATGCTATCTAGTACCGTAGCTAGCCCGTGTCAGACTCTCCGCGAGTTACTAGCCGGAGACTGCCATTAGCGGTACCGCGCATGCGCAGTTCCCCAAGGGTTTGCACTTCAGTGCTTTTCATTTTTTCAAAAAAGGGGAACGTGGGGGAAACGCAGTATAAACAAGGGGATGCCCAAAAAATAGATCATCTTTTGCATGTGCCATTTTTGAGTTTAATTATTATTTGTTCAACCTGCATACGTCACATCAGCATCACGTTGGATTTGCTATGATAGACAAGTGAGAGCTTGCCAATGAAAAGTGAAAAGCACCAAAGTGCAAACCCTTGGAGAACTGCGCATGCGCCATTCTGCTAAATGATGGGCTGGGCTATTGGTATACGTTTACTCGCTAGTAGCTCGCGGAGAATCTGACACGGGCTAGTTTTACAGTAGTAGACATGCCATTCGTTGAGCCCCCAAGGTACAGAGAGCGAGCTGACCAGGTCCCAGTGCGATTGTGCATAGCTAATGGATTTTCCCCTTGTTTTCACGGCATATCTCTCGAACGCAGTCGTTTCAGGAAAATCGCCCTTTTAACTTTCAGGTTCGTTTAATTCTGTAGCTGCTGGTATCGCTAATGGGCCGCTCCGTAGCCTATAGTGCCAGAATAAGCGTCGACACACACACACACACAGACAGACAGACAGAACGACTACAGTAACCCTCGCTGCCAGAATAAGCGTCGACACACGTCCACACACACACAGACAAACCAACCCTCGCTGCGCATGCGCGCCGAGGATAGTTCAATGTCCACCAAGCTTACTGGAACACTCTTCTATCATTCGAGAAATAACTTTTTTGCGGCATTGCCACAGGCCAACACTTTTGTTTTATTACAGAAAGTATGAAAGGGTGGGTCCCCAGAATCATACAATAAAGGCAAGATAGCTTGTGATTAATAGTTTAGAAGGCAATGAGTTAAGTTTCCCAGAATTAATCCGAACTCACTAGTGCCTAGGCAACAGTAACTTCGGAGTCATTTTGTCGCAAGTGACAATAACACTGGTGTGCTTTACCATATCCTGTCGGCACCTATTTGCTGTGAGCAGCAATTTGTCTATCCAGTAAGTCATGCTGGTTTCTTTAGTGTAACCATTGCTAACCTGTGATAGTTCTACATTGAATATTAGACAAACACACCTACTGAAGACTTCAGCTACTACTCTTATACAATAATAGCTGTATACCTTTCCTTCAATATTGTTGAATGAACCTCCATCTCTAAATCAATTAATTTGCAAAATTTTTCCTTGTAATTATGCCGAGTAAGCATCTTTGCTTTAACATCAATTTCTTCCTTAGTACTGAAACTAAATGTCTAAAAAAACATATTAAGAGGTTAATATATACACAATACAAAAAAGTATGCTCCTTACCTTATTAAACTTATAGTCAGCAGGCAACTTTTCTCTTGGATACTCCCTGGGCGTTGAAGATATTTGCCTTGCAACACCTTTAGTATGGAATAGAGAGAGATCTGGATCACATACTAAGAGATCAGGGGGTTATTATTACCATCTGCAACTATAAAACTAGAACTCCTCCTATAGCTATATAACATTCCTAATGTCAAAAGTCTGTCTCGTCTACCAAAAAATCAAGGGTTTGCATCGAATAGGCCTATATAGAGAAGCTTCACGCTCTGTCTCACACGCGCGTCTCTACGCGCGTGTGTGGTCGCGCACTCCTTTCGCGCGCACGGGAGTCATTTGTCGCAGGGCGTAGTTACGTTTGTTGTTGTAACCTCGCGCCATGCTAGGCTCGATTTCATAGGCAAGTGTTGACTTCACATGTAGTGTAGCTTGAAATTCTACTCTAATACTGACTGTACTACCTGGCTGACCGCAAACATTCTTCCTCGTAAGTCCCACATCATGACAACCTCACTCACGGAACTCCCCCGCTTAGTGCAGAGGGGCCGACAGTGGCTCACCCTGAATTTGAAGGAGTGCTAAACACCACGACGCTATTTTGTCACTGCAGGCTCATCCCCGATCTAGTGGTAGGAACGTTTAAGTTTTCTAGCAGACCTGTCTTTAGCGTGTGGTAACGCCAACTTGTAGCTGTATGTGTAGCAGACACCTCTGCAGGAACTCACAACTATTCCATTCTTTTTGTTCAGCATCACTATGTGCATACGTACACCGTTCTCCCCTGCACCGGAAGTCGAAGCTGCATACAATAAATCTGCCCTTAATTTGTCTTTCGGGAACTGGGCGGATTTTGTATTCACGAAAGCATTGACGAGACTCATCCCACGTAACGTCACATCTTCCACCACCAAGGTGCTCATAGCATAATTCTTCAGCCTCTCCCGAATTCCTTGAGAAACATGTCCTGCAAACGCTCAGGACAGGATAGCTTTTCGACATGACTTGACAGCAGTTGAGATTTGAAGAGTGGAAGAGAGATGTTCACTATCAATATCCGCTCCACCCCATTTTATTAGCGAGCGGGAGCGAGCCAACCTAGTCGTCGCAACGGCCGGGTTGGGTATACGTACGTGTCGGTCAATTAGTCACGCTTAGGAATGTTAATTTAGATCATTCGTAGGAAGTCTAGCTTCCGCCGTGCGCGCAGATTCGTTAGGGAGTCTGGCTTCGCGTGCAGTCAGTAGAGCGCCCGCACGAGCGGCCTCAGTCGGACTGTTTACGCATTGGCTGGCAGGCGCGAGGCAAAATACTGCGCGTGCGCATTCCTTGTTTTACTTTTTAATTTATAAAACTTTATGCAAATACATGGATACACAAGAAGCAGTGCTTATTAACCCTTGGCGCGCATGCGCAGCGAGGGTTAAGGTAGTTGGGTTTGTGTGTCTGTCTGTCTGTTACTCTACAGCTCACCTCTCGGATGTCTGTTCGTCTCACAAACGATGCGACGTACTCAACGGGCAACGAAGGTCTGAGCGGTTTTCTCTGAAAAATGCTCCGTTGCAGAGCTACAGCGCTTCCAGCATTGTACGGCTAATGCGTAGTCGGCCATTTTTATCGCCCAAGCTTACCTCGACCGGGCCGCTTGCTCTGTGTATCTTGAAGTCACAACGAAGGGCGTGTATCGACTCCCGCATGCTATTTACTACTGTAGCTAGTCCGTGTCAGACTCTCCGCGAGCTACTAGCGTGGATACCACGAGTAAACGCATACTAAAAGCCCAGCCCATCATTAGTGGTACCGCGCGTGCGCAGTTTTGCACTTCAGTGCTAATAAGTGTACCCTATTGTATATAACAGATGCCTTGACACAACATCCTGGAGATGATATATATGCACAGCACAGCATTGGCACCCATAGGTGATGCAGTTGATCCTCGTCGGCTATTTATCAACACTGGAACTATCTAAATCTTTATATGCTGCATCAATTGTCACAAAACTGTATTTGACGGAGGGAGAAGAGCCGATGAAAGCTTACATGACAGATTTACAGCTGTTTAGAGAGACAACACCACTTTATTTATACTATCAGACACAAACAACAAGGAGAAGAGCTGAGTTTAAGGAGCTGGTTGTTGAGCATAATTGGCCACGCAGTGCAACATTAGAAGATGTTGACAAGTTCCAACATAAATATGTATGCTGATGAATACAATATCCATAAGTGTGATATGATGCTTGCCAAAGTTCTTCTTGGCTCCTTCATCATTACCTGGTTCATACATGAATATATTGTTGCAATAATAAAGTCCAAGTTGCCCAGAGCAATTCTTGAGCAATATTCATTCAGATTGCCTGCACCTGCATCTATCATTCACGTACACTTCAGAAGGTAAGTGTGACTGACTCTATATAGCAGTAGTGTCTGATGATAACCGTTCCGCTAACAGAAGGATCCTCTAACTCCATGTGGTCCAGCCAATGCAGCATTAGTCCCAGCCACTGGACCAGGGTATGTGACTGACCTCTCAGAGACTATAGAGTTTTATACGCTCTCTATATTCAGAGCTACACAGTCTAGCAATAAACTAGGACAACTGCCGTATTCAGAAACTACTATCACACCCAATCCTGGGTATGGTTTTTACAAGAAAATCTATAAGGATCTCATGATGATCACTGAAGATAATTCAAAATCTCGTAAGAAGGTGAGTGAACTCCAAAAGTTTATATCTGGCGATAACAGTTCAACTACCAGTTGTTGTGTATCATTACTAATTTTCCTTACCATAGATGTATGATAATAGTAATGCAGAATACTATCGGGAAAAAACAGTGCCAAAGTTTAATCGAAGCAGCCAATAAAGATCCCAACTCTTTGTGTCATGAAAAAGCTTGTGTTTCAAATCCAACCATCTGTCACTATTTTGTATCCTAATTCACAATAATTAGGAACTGAGTACCTGTTATTATTTTATTTGTTTTCACTGACATTCAGTGACAGAGAAACAAAGGGAGCCCTAGTCATCTGAATAGTGAACAGGTGGGTTGTGGGGTCTGGCTATTGCTCAAGGTGGTGAGCGCCTCTCTATGCACAGAAAACCCTTATTCTTCACAGTACATTTATAATGCTGCACATTTTCCCTAGACTTTTAACTTTTACCTTAACATTGAGGAAGCGATGGCTAAGGCTGCCAAGGAACAGGCTGTAAAATATGAGGAGATGCTACGAGAGGTACACCAGGCTGGGGTAGTGGCCCTGGAGGCTGAGAGAGAGGAGGAGAGAGGGAGACATCAGGAGGAGGTGGAGAGACTCAGGGAGGACTTTGACACCAGACTGCACCAAGAGTTGGAGGAGGTGAGAGAGCCTCTGATGACAAATATATACACACAAAATAGTAATGTACATTACTGGCGCGATGGGTGTAATGTGTTGTGTGATGCAAACCAACTCAACGTGATTACATGATTCTGTGTCACAAAAAGTCCATTTCCCTTCACATTGTCTAGACACAAAACAACATATTATTGTACATCTGTATGTTTGTGTTGTGTCTGCAGTTGACCCAGTCCCACAAAGCAGAAGTCGGTCTCCTGCAGCAGCAGTACCAGACACAGCTGGACTCACTCACCCTCTCCCACCAGCATAATATGGCTCAGGTAAACATGTGTACAAGTGAACCTTTACTGTGCCCTAGCTAGCACAGGTATTTGAGGCTTCGCCATTTATGGTGTATTGTGCAACACTGTTGTATATATACATACAGTAGATTTGAGCCCTTTAAAATGGAAGAAGTGATTTATGATGACAGCTGTTTCAAAACACGTACATTGTGTGACTTATGTTGTGTCGTGAAAGCCGAGAGGTGATTGAGAAGAGTGTGAGGACGAAACAGAAGGAGTTCCAGTCTCGACTCCAGCAGCTACAGAATGAACACACCACCCAACTCAGGTACGTGTCAAGCAAGTGATGCTGCAGAAATACTGGTTCATCTGTGGACGGTCATCTTAGCCCTCACCGTGTATATACGTGTAGCGATAACAGTACACATGCACATGCTTGTAAGCTGGATTTTAGCTAGCAGGGTTGCAGGGGGTTATCCTTCTCTTTTTAATGCCCTTCTGCTTATCTTTTACATTGTACATGTAAGTATGCAGAAATAAACTTACAGCATGTATAATGAACTGTCTAAAGTGTATACAAAATCAGTGCAACATTCCTGCTATATTGTGTTGTGACTAATGTCAGTGGGAATGATGATATGTGCATGGGTTCAGAGAACATGTGTTCCTGTGTCTGTGTTTTGTGTGTCCATTTTACTGCATGTGTATGTATGTATTATCTAATGTATTTGTTATTGTTGATGTATGTATGTGTCAGTGTGATGCATGTGAGAGTGGTTCCGAAGGCCAATGGTACACTCTGTATGTTCATACCAGTGCTCTAATTGATGTGCTGCAAGTGCATTTGAGGCTATATTCAGCCAGTGATAGTACCTCAGAATGGCCACCTCACATTGCACACTGTGTTTGTGTGTGACACAGTACACATGCTGTGATCTCAACCACCAACTGAGCCACTGAATGAACTGTACTAAGTGTTTACATGTGTTTCCAGCAAGTCCCCTCAAGTGTATGGCTTTTACACCACCTTAGAAAATTGGATACAGCTTCCGTATTTTCTCAATCCTCAAATAGACACTGCACTGTAGGTGCTGAAAACATTGGTAGCCTCTGCCTCTATTCACTGTGTTAAAAGATTGATTGGCTGTGATATACTCCGCAGAGTGGTGGAGGAGGAGGGGACAGAGAGAGTTGCACAGGTACATCAAGAGCTGGAGAGAGTTAAGGTATATACATTTATTGTGTATGTTGTTCTCTGTGTGTGTGGGTGCTCTGCTGCTTGCAGTGCACAAGGATTGGTAGGTTTGCTAGTCCTGTTAAAATGAACCTGGGTGCCTCTTATGTTGTTCACATTTACCACGTCTTCTGGTTATTGACTTGCAGTGAACATAAGCAGTCGTGTAAGTATAGGGGGGACATGTAATTATGTATCTGTGTAGAGCATGTGCAACTTTTATCCACCAGGAGGAGCTGGTGCAAGTGAGGGAGGTTGTGGAGCAGCAGCGAGGAGTTCTGAGAGAGAGAGAGGAGGAGAGGGAGAGACTGAGTCTCCAGGTCCAGGCAGCTGTATCAGGAGAAAGGGATAGGGAGGACCAGAGGGACAGACAGCACCACGAAGACACTGCCTCTCTTGCCATCCTCCAGAAACAACTGAGTGCTCTCACCAATGAGAAGTACATAAGACCTCCGTGATAACTTAAAACATTTACACCACCCAATTTAGGTTACACAAATTATTGCACTGCGTGTTCCTGCAAGATTTTGAAATGTTGGGGCTTTGTGTGATTGTAACTGCATCTGCCTTGCTCTGTGCTTGTAGCATGACTGTCATCAGGAACACATGATCTAAAGTATTAATTTACATTTTGGTGAACCGAGCTTACCGAATCGCGCACGCTTCTAATTTATCCGACGTTACTGTAAGGTCCTATGTGATTCAAAAACGTGCATGCATCAACTGAAATGTCACAGTCATTCCTCCACGTGACTGCAACCCTCGTATTTGCTCATCCAGTGATGCAAAATGCACGTAGATGCAATGTACAATAAAAAGCAAGAGTGTGTTGGTCACAACGTGTGTCCTCTACATTATGCTGCAGGGAGGCTCTGGAGTCATGTCTGGTGATGCTCCAGTCATCAGTGTCGGGGTGTGTCCAGTTGGCCAGCCTCGTGGAGCAGACTCTCTCCCCTCCCTCCTCCACAACCACCGCCTCCCAGCTCTGGCACACTCCTTCTGCTATAGTGTATGTTCTGTCCACTACTACTCCTACATACACTTGCTATGTTATTGTATGTATGTATGTATGTATGTGCATGCTTCATAATACTTTCACAAATCACTTAAAACCCAATTTTTACGCAAAAAAGTGTAACGAATGTGTAGGTGTATACGCAGAAGGTTAGCTAATATATATAGGTTACACTATGCCCACGAGAAGGTTTAGTGGACATACACTACGAGTGCGCAGCACGAGTAGTGTATGCACTAAACAGTCTCGGGTGTACCAATTTGTACCACAGGAATGCGCACTAAGACAACTTATTAGTATGCATGCCATGGTGTATGAGAGCTCATACACCACATGTGAGTGTATGGCTGAGTCAGCACACCATACACCATGGCATGCATACTAATAAGTAATAGTTAATGTACGGAAGTCAGTGCTGTGCGCGTAATAATGGTACGAGGGGCGTGGTCGAGATAGTCATACAGCACGAGGCGCAGCCGAGTTGCTGTATGATCTATCGAGACACGTTCTGAGTACCATTATCACGCGCACAGCACATGCTTCCGTACATTAAGTTATTTATTGTATGCGTGGGTGATTCAAAGGCGGCGATCAGGAAAACCGGCGTTCAGAACGGAAGAGAGGACGAGAAGCTCGCGGAGCGCCCTTCCAGCAGCGGTTTGTGTCACCGTCTGAGTCGAACTCGGTCTACGAAGGGCCGCCGAGGGTGTCATTCCCGCAAAGTGTACGCTAGTCCGCGGGTATAGTTCAAAAGGCGGCGGCCAGGAAAATCGTTTTTTTTGCAAGTTCAGAACGAAAGAGAGGACGAGAAGCTCGCGGAGCGCCCTTCCAGCAGCTGTTTGTGTCACCGTCTGAGTCGAACTCCGTCTACGAACGGCCGCCGAGGGTGTCATTCCCGCAAAGTGTACGCTAGTCCGCGGATATGGTACAGTTCGTGTGATATAGTAAAGTTCCGCGCGATATAGTACAGTTCATTCACAAACTTTTGTATGATGAATATAGTACTGGCGGCGCCTTTGATTCGCCCACGCAAAATACAATAAGTTGTCTTAGTGTGCATACACTGCGTGAGGTGCCTTTGATTTCTAGGGCTTCTGTTGTACAGCACTATTTAGTTTATTTTTGCTAGTCATGTGCATTGATAGTATTGCTTTTATAAATCACCACGGAAATGTTTCACGAATGCAGGTTGACAGACGTGTGCTGTATGCTAGGACCAAACTTAATGCTTCATTGGAACGCAATAGCACTTAGTTTAGTTCTCCTATGCTGAAGAAAGTGTGTTACTTGTTCTCTCCATTCAGGCAAGACAGAGGAGTAGAGAGAAGCAGTGATGTTAGGGAGGAGGGGGTGGCAGAGGGGGAGGAGAGAGAGGAGGACACTCTTACCCCTCCTCCTCCTCCTCCCACAACTACCCCTGCTCCAGGTCACACCAGTGGAGCAGTGAGTGTGGCTAGTACTGGTTCAGTCATGTGGACCAAGAGTGCCACAAACCTTCTCTCCAGTGGATCCCTTCTTAGACAGGTTTGACAACATACACATACATACATACATACATACTGCTGTCTGCTTTGCAACTGTGTACTTATCCGCAGAGCAAAGAATAGCTATCATGTGTATGTTTACTTGGCTGGACATACTATCGCTCTCAGTAATACCTGCTTTGCATAATCAAATTTGTTGCCTAGCACAACTAATCCGGGATAAATTCTATACTTAGGTACGTACAAACATAC